GGGAAAGAGACTGGAGGCATCCTAGTGTTTGGTCCTCTGTGCAAGAGAATAGAAGGATGCTAACGAAGCCAGCAGACGACAGAGCTGAGGCACAGCCCATACAAGCAGGATTAGCATACCCCAGAGCAGCCTTGTCCTCCAGCCCACCCAGCAGCTCTGTCAGGCATTGGGATGACCTTAGTGGGGAATACCGGTCATCAGAACCGGCTAAGCTGCACGCCCAGGCACCTCAAAAGCGGCCTGATGGGATCCCTGCCAACCCTGGGTTCTCTAAGCCAGAGATTAAAAGAAAATGCATTTCCACATTGTGCCACTGTTTGATTCCGTCATCATTCCCACCACACCCCTTTGGGCTCAGAAAGTGGAAACCCTGACTGCAAACGTGTGTCCAGCCAGCGTGCTGCCTCTGAAGAGGCACAACGCCACGCACATGCCTTCCGCCAACGGCTGCAACTCGCGTCCACCCCAGGGAATGCTCCCGTTTACCCAGAAGACGTCGTAGATGAAGAGGCCCCCAAGCAAGATGCAGCCAGTGCTGACGTTGTTCAAGTGCAGCAGCTCCACCCCATTGAGGGAGAACGCCAACCCGAAGAGATTGTTGGCAATCCAGTGCTAGGAACGACAGGAAAAGAAGGTTGGGGTCCTACTGCGTGTGCCGAGCCACAGTCTCAGCCTGCAGATGCCTTGCGCGGAGAGGGGCCCAGGTCCGATCCAGCCTGGTCCCTGACCTCCCTGTAACAGGGCTGCGGCTCTCTTACCTTTCTCAGCAGGTACCAGACCCCCACAACACTGCTCAGGGCCAGGCATACGAGATCCTTGGTGTCAAACTCGTAATTCACTATTTCTGCAATAAAACAGAGAAGTCACATCTTGGGCAGACCCGGCAGCTCCCCTTCGCGCGCAGGGCAGAGATGGGTGACTTCACAGCACGAAACAATACAGACTGCAGTCCTCACAACGCAAATGAGGGGACTGTACCCACAGAAATGGCTGTGCCCACAGTAAACACATGCAAACTGCATGAGAGTGAGCAGGCGGCCCTGGCAAGCCTGGCCCTTCCCCTTCAGCCAGACTCTGCCACATGGACAGCATCTGTGATCCTTCTGTCAATAAGGAAATTGGATTCAGGCACTGTCTAAGGCAGGGAGAAGCAAATCTTCCTCTTCCTGCACCAGTTAACTCCTGGTGGTATCACTATAAGTATTCCCTGACCAGTAATGCTACTGGGCAGGAAACTTACTAAAGTATCTTCTACCAGCGCAAAGATTTAAATCAGATCAGTTAAGGCAGCACAAAAAAAATCAGTACTGTGCTATCCAAGGAGCTTAAATAAAGGCAGTGCATTTAATAGTGGCAACAGTGCCATTCCTATAGCACTCAGGGATCTGTTTCTGGAGTTTTACTGCCAGCAAAGAGGGAGAGCAACAGCCAGCGCAAGAAGATGTACACAGCAGCCCCATCCCTGCATGGACACACGAGGCTCACACTGGCTACAGTGAGAGAAGGCTGTTTCAATGGGTTGAAAGTCAAAACACCAAGTGAGCAAGAAATAGAACAGTAAAGGTAGAAAACATTCAAGCCCCCAGAGAGACCAGTGAACCAACATACCTTCCTTGCTCTCCCCGGAGCCCTGGGTGAAGAGGAGCTGGTACTGTTTGTTGGGGAAATTTGCAGGGAAGAACCTGTTCATCATGGGGCTGAAACAAGAGGTGCAGAGAAGGGCAGTTCAACAGAAACCCCGCACGATGCGCTGCCCAGCACCTCTGCGTAAGTGTCACAGCATAGACGTTGGCCCACACCCCCTCCTGGGAGCGGGAAACGCCAGGGACTCCTTGCAGGGACTCTCCACATCAGGGACCGGCAGGAGCCCCAGCTTCAGTCACCAAGCCACAGACATCTGCCCATATGTGACAGTCCCCCAAAATGCTCTAGTGCAACAAGCACAGAGCATCACCCACAAGAAGTCAGGACCCACCCCAGACCCCAGCAGGTTCCCTGTGCCCCCCCAGCACCCTCCTGGCACCACAGAGCTCTGGTCACACACAACTGGATGTGCCACCACCAAATGGCCCTCCTGCAGAGCTGGGAGTGGGGGTGAAGCCTTTGCCACAGTTCCAGTCTAAGAAAAGCATCAGGTCCCCAACACCCTACAGCTCAGGAAACCGGAAACCAGTTTTACTTTTTCAGTTACTGAAACAGCCTGAGCTTTCAACACCTCATGCCAAGCACTGGCGCGAGAGGCCGGGGATGTTATCGTGAGCTCCAGCTGCCTGTTTCAGCCGTCCCAATAAGAGGAAGATGGGTGCCGAGGAGGTCTTCCCTCCAAATGGCAGCGAGGACTGTGCCAGCCCATAGTGGCTCCTACAACAGTGGCCACCCACACCTCCACAAGCTCTCCCAGAGATGCTGCATGGGGTATCGGACTGCTGGCACCCCCAAGACTTTGGTTCTGTCCTTGGCTGCCCTATGAGGAAGAGTTCACAGCATATCTGGGCCTGCTTCCCCAGTAAGCCCTTTATACCACCAAGGAAGAACACCCTCTGAGCTGGGACTCGGCTCTGCTTCAAGGCAATGGTGCTGTAGAAACCCCCCAATAAACTCAACACCCCATGGCCTCGCAGAGCGGGGAGCCTTGGACACCCCTGCCCCCAGCCGCACGATTCCCTCCATTGTACCTGATGGTGTGGGACAGGGCTAGGATCCCCAGCACAAAGAAATACATGGAAAGCAGAAGATTGATGTACTCTTGAGAGAATATCTGCAAGACAAATCCAGAGAGGCGTCAGTTACCAGTGTCCTGCCCATTTACAGCACTTCACGTTGCGATCGACAGCTGCTGTGTCAGTGCTCCAGGGAGACGAGAAGAATAGCTGGAATAACCCAAATTCTTGCACCACTGATGTGAAATATGTTGGAAATAGCCGCATGCTCACAGAACAAGCACAACGGGCCTGCGACTTGTCGCACATCTATAAGCCGCTTGGGTCAAAAAATAACTCGGGCACTGCAGAAAGGAGGACAGAGCTTCCCCGTGTGTCCCCTGCAGAGTGAGCTGGAGCAGGGAGCGAGGTACTGCGCCGCTCCCGGGGGCTGCCCCAGCAGAGGGAGCAGCAGCACCCCCACCTCACTCCTGCAGCAGGCTGAGCATGTCTTGCCCTAATTAAATGGGGTATTATTAGAAATCCTGCCCTCCAATGCACACGCTGCCTTACTGGTAAATCACACCCCCACAGCCCAGTGTGGGGAGACCCCAGCGGCACCCGTGCTTTCCCGGAGGGGGGATACTGGAATATGAGCGCTCATGGCAGGTTGCAGATATTACAAGGAAGAACTGCCAATCACATAGCAACTTCAGTGGGGCCACACTGCACATTCAGTACTTCTTTTGCTGGCGTCTCTATCCCAGCCAGGAGCAAGAGGCAGAAAAGGCACCTGAGGAGGTGGAGTACCACCCCAAGACATGGGCAACAGGGAAGGGGTGGGCTGCAGGGGGTCCTTTCAGCAGCCAGAGGGGCCCAGTGGCAGGTTCCGGTAGCTGCTCCATACCCCACCATCAGGAGAGGCTCAGCAGATACTTGGCTTTCCTACTGGTGACCTACAAAAGGAGCTGCAGCACCGGGGAACACACTGGCTAAACTTCATTGTTGGGAAAGCAGGGCATATTGCTAGGGAGGCCTGATCCTGTCTGCTGCTGCAGAGCTGACCTCTGTGGCTGCACAGGCTGTGGCACGCACTCGCCTTCCCCGTGGAGCCGTAGCACGGTCCAGCACACAGGCCCATGCCAGGGTAAGGACCTGCACAGTACGGCAGTCAACCCAGGGTAGGAGCCTGCAGCGTCAGTCAGCTGCTGCATGGTAACTGCAAAAGGTGGAAACGGGACTTTAACTGCAATATTCCCAACTTTGCACCTTAAACCTCACCTGGCCAGCCAGGAGCACCCTGCCACCTCGCAGGCAGCCCACGACAGCTGACATGCTGAGAAGACCACTCCACAGTGATGGCCCCACGGCTCGTCAGGCCCCTCCAGAAGCTCATCTGCACACCAGACGTGTGCAGGCAGCCAAAGGTGCTTTAAGAAAAGACAACTTCTCCGCACAGCCAAAAGCACCCACTGCTTGGATCTCCTACCTCTGACTCAGGAATAGTCATCTAACTCTGCTTGTTGGCTCTGCATGTCTAAAAGACTTCACCTGAACACATATGGGCTCACCCATGAGCTAGCAATCCCCCAGGCCTGCAGCCGGGATGGCTTCAGAAGCACAGCACGGAGCACAACACAGAGACAGCAGCATTTGCAACTCAGCAGGCCCTGGCACCCTCTGTTTTCAGTGCGTGCACAGTCAGGTCGGCCCACAGAGAGAAGCAGAGCTCAGGGGTGAACTCGCCCCTTGGCAGCTCTCCAGAACCACCCTGTGCACAAACAAGCTCTGAATTACCCCAAGCTGTCACAATTCAGGCAAGAACTGATGTCCTCCCATGTGGTGACACCGAAGAGCTCGAGCCATGCAGCCTTACACACTTTCTGTCCCAACACTGAGGGCCCCCAACTAGGGTAAGCCGAAAATCAAATCTGAACCGTTTCGGGAGTTCCTGACCAGGCGGGGAGGATGGCAGGCACCAGCTTCAGTGCCCGCCAGCGTTGCTCACTTACTTTAAAGAAGAGGTAGAGCCCCAGAAGGGTGCAACTGGCAACAATGGGAAAACGAGCAGCATCTCGGCTGGTAATGGTCTCTGGCATCTCCGAGGAGTTCTAGGGAAGGAAGGAGAGGACAGGAATGAATCAGCCCCTGCTCTGGCTTCCTACCTCAGCAGGAGGTGAACAGACACAACGAGCAGGGCTCCACAGTGGCTTCGAGAGGGGCAGGCGACCCACTGGCCCTTCATTGTTCCCAGAGGTGCGGCTCTGTCACTGGCAGAGCCTGAGATGGAAAAAGCAAACCTCACACTCCTCTTTCCAAGGGCTGCCTCAATTCACTGCTTTTTTTCCTCCTGGAGAAGGGGAAAAAAACCACAACCCTCTGCCTGCTGTGCTGGCGTTGTTCCTTTCTCCCTGTGCCCAGAGGGGAGCTAGACTCCCTCACCACTCACGCCCGGCCATCCCCGACAGCCTCCCCATCTGTGCGCACCATATGTTGATCACCCTCTGATCGACGTTTCTCTCCAATCACCTTTTTATCCCTCACCTTGCTCTTGGGACGCTCCTTGTGCTCAAAAGCCTCAGATTTATAAACGCCTTTCACCTTCTGAGACGTCTTTGCACCAGCTGAACCAGCCCCCTTTCAAGCCATTTCCCACGAGAGACCTTCAGCTTTCAGAGGAGAGGCAGAAGGCTGCTTGCTCCCTTGCCTGCTCCCCTGCCCAGCTGGCTGCTGCTCGGAGATCTAATCTCACACAGGCAAACACCTGCGGCCAGCGCCGGACAGAGTGCACATTAGCGGAAGCCCTTATGCAAAGCAAACCTGCGAAGGAACAACAGCTTATCCCAGGCACAGCTGCTGCCACACAACACTCAGCAGTGCAGAAGCAAGCGCCCAAAGCGCCACTGGCTCCCTGTGGCGTGAGTGAAGAGAAATCACCCCCCCAGAACCACAGCCAAGCCCTGCTCGCAGACCTTGGGTGCCCGGGCTGCCAGGAACGCCACTAAAATCAGCTGAAACCCCTGACGTAAGACATAAGGGCAGACAAGAGGCTTTAAAAAACCGTAATAAATCAGATTGTGTAAAACACCCCTTTCTCCTGATCTTCAGGATCCGAAGTGCTAGGAGATTTAAGTCCCAGCTGCTACCTGAGGCCAGGTGTGAGATGTAGAGAGCAGCACGACGGGCTGCAGGGACAGGACAGGGTGTGCAGGCAGGAGAGCGCAGCAGCACCCTGGGGACCAGCTCCAGTGCTGCGGGGCAGGGGGAGCAAAGCCACACAGGAGTCCCCTCAAACAAAGCATCTCTTGCAGGGGTACAAGGGGTGGTCACGAGATTTGCAGCACTTGAATTTATCGGGACAGTGGGGATGGGGCTGGAGAAGACCCCAGGGGAAGCCAGATCTCTCCCCAGGGTCCCCTGCCTCCGCCGGGCCGCGGGTCTCCGCCATTTCAGGGACAGGGCCGGGAGAGGGCAGCGCGGGGCGGGGGGCCGGGCTGGCCGGGGCACCCGAGGGGTCCCGCGGGGGCGAGGGGTGAGGCCTGGAGGCCCCGGAGGGTCTCCCGGGAGGGGCGGGGAGCAGCCCCCGCTGCCTGGCAGGGGTTGGGAGAAGGGGGGGCCTGCACGTCTCGGCGTCCCCGGTTTGCAGCG